GTGTGTGTGTGTGTGTGTGTGTGTGAGATCAATGTCATGTTTATTCTCTGAATGATGGAGTCATGTCTCTTCATGTTCGGTACATGGAGCCGCTCGTGCAGCCAGGAATCCGCGCGCCACCCTGCAGGTGCTACAGACAGCTCGAGCTGTCAGTCATTCTGTCGTGACGTTGTTGTTGTGGGCCCGTGTGTGTGTGTGTGTGTGTGTGTGTGTGTGTGTGTGTGTGTGTGTGTGTGTATTGACTGTTAGAGGACACTTGATATCTGACTCATCATCGAAGGGGACAGTTATGGATGGAATCAGGTGGAGGTCCAGGGAAGGTTTAGGTTTTGGGTTCCACGTAGAAAGGTTAGGGTTAGGTCACTTTGAATGGTCCTCAGGATTAGAAATGTGCTTTCTAAATACAGAGCGTTCACCATATAGGCTCGAGAGAGTGTGTCATGTCAATGAGTGTCCTCACAAAGACAGACATACTAGTGTGTGACACTGGCTGTCAGGACCTGAGGACCTCATGGGGACTGAAGCTCATAGCGATTGAGGCATAACACTAAATTCTGGCGGTCATGGTCTGGGATAGAGATAAGGTTCTGTTTAAGATCCCAACAATGGATAGAAGTCGTGTCTTTGTGTGTGTGCATGGTATAGGTTAGGGTAGTTTGGATGGAAAGGAATACATTATGTCAATGAGTGTCCTCACAACTGTAGAGAGACGTGTGAGTGAGTGAATGAGTGAATGAGCCGCCTGATAACACCAGATAACCACAGTGACTTAGAAAATTAGCATAACTGAGGATCTACTCAACAATCTCCCTGAGCCAGCGACTCTTTTCATCACTGTCACTGTTTGGCAGTTAGACAGTGTGTGCATATGTAACTATGTACACATCAGTAATGTAACTTCAACTACACTAAAGCAAGGACTATGTTCACTGTGCTGGAACCGAAACAGATTCCAAGCCTTCACAAACCGATCTGCACCGCAGTGAAGGGATGATTGTAAACAGTAGTAAACCAGTGACTGTCGAAGGACTGACAACTGAAGACATGGAAAGCACCGTGAAATACGTAAACATTTATAATCAGAGACTACACAAGTTCAATATGAAATGAATATATACACACTGTTGACTTGACTGTGCCTGGGTTGGTTTGACATCTTGGGATTGTTGTCCTCCTGAGCTAACTTTTACTGCAGGCGTAATCACTCGCTCGTGATTGGACCAAAACAGTATCATGACAAATGTAGTTGAAAGACTATTAAATAGATGAAATGAAATATATACGGGTTATCCTAATTTTATATAATTATAAAATTACAATATATAATTACAATTTTGTGTTTCACATAAGCTCAACAACATGCAGCAGCAGTAGGTTGTGGTATTTCATTTCCTTTGTCCTGTATTGTGATTTAGAATATGAAATGTGATTTCAACATAGGCCTTTTTTACTTTAACTTTATTTACTTAAGCAGTTTCTATCACAAACATTTCAATTTGATGAGGAATGTATTATATGCATATAGCAAACAATGCAAGTACATACATTGTTTCTATAGAATAATGTCCACCACAGTTATGGCTGCAATGTTTTCAAACTACAATATCACTATAGAGCACGTACCTCTGCCATTGCTAAGGCCACATTATGTGTCTCAGCTGTATGTTGGTGGTAGTTCACCACATTCAGATTTTTGTTTGGATCAGCATGGAATTACATATACTCATAAATATCCGTCCTCTAAATGCTATCATCAAGATACGTGAGTTATTCTCTGAGAAATCAGCAAAAACGTTGGACAACACCACATCTCAAAGTAAGGGTTAGAGAAAGTAAGAACGTTTCAAACATCCCTCCACCACACCCTTTCCCCGTTTTTCATGGCAATCCATAAACCAGAGGTAAAACTCAACTTGGCACAAAAACAATACAAGTAAACTGGTTCCTCAGTGTATTTAAACCTTTAGTTTAAAAAGAGGTGTACAATGTACAAGTGCAGCACATGACTGAAAGTGCAGGGTACAACTTACAAGCAATGAAAAACCTGCAGAGAGAGAGAGGTGCTCCTATATGTTGCAACAGTTTTACTTTACAGGCATGTGAATGGAAAACAATGTTAAACTGCACTATAGGGTTTATGACTGAGAGGGTCCGTGATGCATCTGATACCTCTGCCACAGAATCTAGATGCAGAGGAAAGCTCCTCAGCCCTGTCCACGTGGCTGAACTGTGCACAACATATTCCTGTTTGTTTTTAGTTATCACGTATCAGTCACATGTTCATTTAACTGTTTATATGTTTTATATGTAGGAGGAGGAATTTAACTGGCTGCTTAAAGAGGAAGTCCACGCTGTCCTGAAGCAGCTCCAGGATGTCCTGAAGGTAAAAGTTAAGACTTCATGTATCCATATGATTGTATTTATCACTGTCACTGAACTCATTGCCACACATTTTAAGGGCCTTTGCACCACTCCTCATGAAGACCTGTTTACTTGTCCTGGCCTGTTGTGTATATTGTTGTATAATGTCCTTAATGGCTCTTAAGAAAGTTTGAGAAAATTGAGGAAGACCTGAGATTTCAAACGCAGCAAATTCACAAATACAACCAAATAGAGAAAGCCTGCTTTATACAATGGTGGCTGGAAGTTTCAACGATTTGAGTTTTTTCCAGACAGGGACGATCTGACTAAGAGGTGTCATCAAGATGCATCATAGGAAATGAGGTCTTGTCTGTAGTCTGTACAAGGGCTACAAGTCAGTATATATCAGCTTCTGCTGCATTAATTGATTGTTATATTACCGCCCCACTCGCTAAGCACTTTTGACAAAGCTCAACGCTTGTTAGTGATTTTTTTTACACTGTGCTCAGAATCATTGATTTGTCCATATCAAGTAAAAAGAATTATAAAAACGATTATGATCATATCATCACCATATGACACCAGTCAAAGTCGATAAATAATTCTATTGCATTACTCCCCAGTCATAGCTGTAATGTGTTTCAATAGCTTGTGTAATAAATTGCAAATCAAATTGTAATTGGATTATAGCCCAGACGTAGCATAATGGATCAGAAATCAGTGAATCTACAGTATCAACTCAAAGGCTCCAAAGTTTTCATTCTAATAGAAAGGGACGTTTTGCTCTGCTGTTGTCAACAGGAAGCATCAAGACGTTTCTCAATGCCGACACCAGGTCTGGAGAGTCAGCTCAAACAGGAAAACTTCATCCTCGGCAGTTCAACGTAATACATCATATCTCTAAGCATTTTGTTTCAAGGTGCAACAGTTACTGTACAGTTACAATGGTTGGGTGGACTGAAACACAGTAAGGCATTGTGTCTGTTACATAGCAATGTCTTATATTGAGCAAAGTGGCTGCTGGGATTAAAGTTCCCTGTAGTTACAACAGATTCCCTTCATGTGGTTTCCAGAGAAGTCATGTACAGTGTGTTTGTTGGTATGGGAGGGACATGTGACCCAGTGAACCTGGCAGCTGTCGCGTTTCCTGTAGAACTGAGGCTATTCTAAGTGTAAACAGACAGATAATGTCTCAAACACAAATGCCTAAGGGCATGTGCACGCTCACTCTAGAATGGCTAGACAGTGTGATCACACAGTATTGTACTGGCCATTAGATACAGTATACCCAGTGCTGGGGGACCCTATACTCACTGTACAAGTTATGTAGGGCTCTGCACATAATACAAAGGCCCCACCTTTCTCTTACGTTAAAGAGGTTGTTTAACACTCTGGTGGGTGGATGAGCAGAACTATCCTTTTGGTCACAAGAACACCATGAGTGAATTACAGGAGCAGCAATCAGTTAAACTTGTGTTCTCTCCGCACGGTTTGACGTCAGTAAATAGCGGTAATGTTGATGTCTCTCTAACCATCTGTGTCACTTGGTCTGTGTGTGTTTGGCTGAGCAGCCACTTCAGATCTGTTTTTTATTTTTATTTAGTACAAATATTCACTGGGACTCAAGGATGGACTGATTAGATTTTGGTAGTGTTGAAGTGTCATGTTGCAGCTGAACACCCCTCACCTCACCCTCTGCTTCCAACATGAAAAAGAACCTGTGGTAGCTTCAGTTGTCATAAAAACTCAAAAGGTGTTTAGTTTGTCCAGTCTGGACTAATGTAAAAAACATGGTGGCCTCTGTAGAGAGGGTCCCCTCCATGTAAATATAAAGTATTTAAATATAAAGGGTCTTCTCTGGGGTAAAGAAAACTACAATTCATACAATTTAGATGAAATGAACTAGTGAAAACATCATGAGGATTATTCTACATTAAATATCTGACAATAGTTCGCTTTTCATCTTCCACACTGGACCATTAACACAGATAATGAATGACGTTTCATTTTTGGGTTTGCTATCCCTTTAAGATCAGCTTCAGGGAATGTCTTTAAATTTGGTACAAACTTTCACTTAAACTCAAAGATGAACTGATTAGATTTTGGTGCTTGGAGATCAATATGACATATTAGGACTGCCAGTTGGGAATTTCATAACATCTTGTACAAATCACTTGGACTCACTGATTAACCGATTAGATTTCATTGGTCAAGGTCACAGTGACTTTGTTTTTGACCTCTTGAATGTGATATGAGTGCTTGAGGGAATTTCTTCAACCTTTGATCAGTTGTCATTTGGACTAAGATCTTCGGATAAAGTGATAACGTTTCAGTGGTCATAGGTCTGGAAATCTGGAAATATGTACATGGAAACTGCACTGGTTAGAGGAAGTAAATAACCACAGTGGTGTAATTCTTGTCCCGCCACAGTTTCATAGTAACAAAATGTTTTTACACAACATACATTTTTTCCTGTATTGTTGCTCGCTCTTCCATCTGCAGCACTGGTTGAAATGTATCCTGTGTAGGTGGCCTGTTGAAACTCTCTCATACACCATCCATAAAGTATTTATGTATTTAAGTACCATCCTCAGACAGACAGAATTTGGAATAAACGTTTTCTCTGTGCACCGAAGCATACCCGCCCACCCCCCAAAAAAACCACCTCACAGGCAGGTTAATAAGTTAGCGGTTGGGGTGTGTACAGCATGCACTCTGATGCTTTTCATTTATTGATAATATTGATACTAGTTCCCCAGAAGTCATAGCTGGTTCAAATGAGTCCCATGCTATAATCTGCCTTCCCCTTAGTTTCTCTGTGGGTAATCAAACCGTGATGTTGTTTTGCAGCATGGATCAGGTGAAGGGGGTACTAACTCTGCAGGGAGAGGCTCTGACTCAGGCTGTGAGTTTGACCAAATCTCAATCAAAGCTTTCTTCCTTTTTGGAAAGGACATAAAAGCTTGATTTAACTAAATGTTTTGCTTTTCTTGACAGGACATAAACCTGAAGGTTGCAAAAAGTAGCCAAGTGCTGCACTTTCAGTTCAGAGAGGACAAGCAGTGGAAGCTGCAGCAGGTCAGTGTATAATGCTACCACGGACATAGAGAACCACAGCTGTAGCTGTAAGAATTCCAGATCATAGTAATGCTGAAATCCCGCCTCACTCATCCCTCTCACCTCCCTCTCGCCTCCACTCCTCCATCAGATCCAGGATGCCAGGAACCATGTGAACCAGGCTCTGCAGCTGCTGAACAGCCGCGATGAGAGCTACCACTTCCAGACGGGGGCTGAGGTCAATAAGGTCGGACCCTCCTCTGGGCCACAGAGCCCTGTTCCAAACATGGATGAGATCCCAGTCTTTTACAGGGGCCACTTGTACTAACTTCATGTATCTGGTGGTTCTGTAGCTCATGGATGCAGTGATGCTGCAGCTGACGCGAGCACGAAACCGCCTCACCACCCCGGCCTCCATGACTCTCCCTGAGCTGGCCACCAGTGGTCTGATGGTACAGGCTTGCAGACACACACATCACACACACACTGCTTGAACACACTGAGGCCATTTCCAGACATGACCTCTGGGTAAAATCTGACCAATTGGCTACAGACCAAGTGGTCAGCTCTAAGTTCAGTTGTAAAGACACATTTGAGATCTGATCACTCAGACCTCATTGGGCCAAGAGGTCTGATACTCACATGTTTTAAGTCTAACCCAAAAAGTATAGCTTTTAAACTTTTATAGAACTTTTCTCGGGTTTATTAAGCAGGAAGCCTCGCTCTGTTCATTATTGCTCCATGTTCCTTTCTTTCTCTTTCATGTCCAGAAAATGTTCACTCCTCCCATGCCTGGGGATGTGATGGTGAACTTTTACATCAACCTGAGCAAACTGTGTCTGACCGTCTACCAACTTCATGTGCTGCCCGCCAACACCACCAAGGTTTGAACTCGTGACTCTTTGCATCACTATATAAAGCACACACAGGGCCATGTGAACATTTATTGTAACTCTGTCATCTCAATAGAATTTCAAACCAGCTGGAAGTTCAGTGTTGCACAACCCTGGAGCGATGTTGTAAGTCCTGTTTCTCTTCTTTCTGTATGAAACACTTGCAGATATGTCAACGATACATACAATAATTACCTTCGATAAATAGTGAATGAAAAGAAACAGTGGTTATTGATGACAATCTGTGAGGGACTTCAACCCATTTGTGGAGTGGAGGTGTATCTTCCCTCTCATCTCTCTTTACTTGCTGTGAACACTTCCCCCGACAGTGAGCTCAACAACAACCGTTTCGAGGTGAGCCACGTTCACAAGGTGGAGTGCGTGGTGCCTTGGCTCAATGATACGCTGGTGTTCTTCACCATCTCCCTGCAGCTCTGTCAGCAGCTTAAGGACAAGGTACATGTCTCTCCTGGAAGATGACTCTTTCACAGTTAAAACAGAGGTCCACGGTTTTCTCAAGTCCATCTTAAAACAACAAAGGGAATGACATGAGAAGGAGCTCACACTTGATTTGACTGCTAATGTCTTCTATCTGCTCCAGGTGAAATTATGCATGAAATGCATTTTTTGTAGAATCTTCCCCAATGAACAGATGACTACAGCATTCATATTTCATATGGCATGTGTTGAGATGAACCTGACCAAATCCAAACCTCTTTATCTTTATCATCTTTCAAAGGACAATTCCAATATTTGTCAACCTAGACCTATGTTTATAAATGTGGGTGTATAAATGAATGGTATTTGGAATTTGTAGGAACTCTTTGTGTGTATATTCCATCTCCAACAAGTTGGGATGAACATCAAAATCAAAATTTTTGTTTAATAATAATAGTTTCTCTCAATAAATTCTCCAAATCTCTCACAATTCCACCTCTGTCTTTCTGCAGTAGCCAAAGTAAACGGTCAGTATTTAAATAGCACTGTTCTAGTCTTGACCACTCAAAGTAGTTTTACGTTCACGCATTGACTCACATTCCTACAGTGCATCTGTGTGCAGCATGTCTCTCTATGAGAAGGGTCAGTTTGGGGTTAAGTATCCTGCTCAGAGACAGCTGCGAGTCTGAGTGTCACAGGACTTGAGAGACATGTTGACCCAGAATAACAGTTTGAGCCCTTTATTGGTGGAAGAAAAACTTTGAGCGGACACTTTGTGGACTGCTGCTGTTGCCCCATAAGATTATATCATAGCCAATGCTACAGTGTCGTTACCGAGATGATCTACTGGACCCATTCGAAAGGTTTTTATGAGTACCATTCATTTACACACCCACATTTATAAACAAAGGGCAGCAGTTTTGGAATTCACTATTAATGCTAAATCAACTTTTCTGGCCACTTGCTCATAGGTAATAATTTGCTGGTGTGTATTTGTAAAAGTGTAACTAGACTAATCCCACACTAAGCTCCTCTGTCCTCGTTTCTTTGCAGATATCAGTCTTCTCTAGTTTCTGGAACTACAGACCTTTCTAATCCTCCTCAAGTCAATCCTCCCAACTAACCACACAAGTGTAAGGGACATCCTGTGAAGGTTTTATTTTTGTATGTGTTGTTCACCCTCTCATTCAGTCTAAGGTGTTGCATGAATAGGCGAAGGAGCCAATCGAATCCTAACAGATATCAATAATTGCCATTTCCCACATTGCATCTTATAGCACTGACTTGAACTTCGGAAAGAATGAATGTTATTGTTGATTTATCATTAGGATTTTTTGTTACATTTAAGCTATTTAATACTGAGTATTTATCCCAATGTTATCATGCGATCTGTCTTATTGTGTGGAAAACTAATGTGTGTACTCAGGGTTGGAAAACTTAGAGGAGTAAGAAGTTAGAGCTCACAGTGGGAGGTCTTTTCTTGAAATATTTTTTATTTCCCTCATTTTCCTCCAACATTTTCACACTCCTATAAGAGAAACATGAAACAAAACTGAGCATTGTCACTGTTCATGGACAATACACTGTAGTTATCTACTTAACGGAACAATTCCAAATTTTGGGAAATCCTTGTTAGTTCAGTTCGATACTACTCTCATGCCTTTAACTATTGAACTATTTTAGAAGGGATTGATAACTTGACTGTGGATTTTTTTCACTTTCACTAATTCCAAAATCATTCTTATTACCAGTGATAAGAATCAGGGCATTTGAGACAGAGTTCAAAGTAAAGTTCAGTAAGTTGTTCAATTATCAATACAGGGTGTTGCACAAAAAATATTTGAAATGCTAATTACAGTGTGTGTCATTAGATGCTAGAATATTGTAAATGCAAAATAAAAAAATTCTGTGAGGAGACACAAAAGTTTTGTGAAAACATTTCCCATCGTGAGCTCTGAAGGGATTTAAATCAGTCCTTTACAGTCACTGTTAAGCTACCAGTCATGTCTGTGATTTCAAGTGTTTGTCCGTTCTGTGTTCATATTTATTTGACATATTTTGCACAATTTGTTGATTCCCTGTGAACCAAACACTAATCTAATTGTGAGCAAATGACTTCATTCCAATAAGTGTTATTCTCTATTTTGAAAGTTGCTTCTCATATAAAATATTAAATGATTTTTCTGTGCAATAAAATATTCGAAACATTCACATGTCTGTTCTGTCTTGCCCTTTGCTCCAGCTGCTCTGAAGCCACATGTGGAGATGTCTCTGTTAAACTCCAGTTTTTCTCCACTTCAATCATTCATTAGTTACCAGGTGACCAGGGGAATGGTTTCACCCATGTGAGTGTGAGGATAAAGTAACTCCAGTAGTTACGAGGGTGTCTCTAAGACGATCAACGTTTGGAGGGGACCTGTCAAAGTTTAAAGACAACAAATGTGGTCGGAAAAATATATTTTTCCGACCACATTTATAGACAAAGCTTGCTTTCATCACAAAATGATTTCCTATAATACGATGTCATATGAAGAAGTAGTAAGTCAGAAAATGGCGTCATATAGTGTAATCATTTCTTAACCTTGATAACCAATAGGATTAGAGACAGGATCTACAGCTCATTTAGTTAAACCAATCACTTGTCATCATATGGTATGAATAAAGTCTTCATCAAATAGTGATTAGTGTCTAATGGAGAATGGTGACAGTAGGTGTGGTTAGCACCGTCAGCTCTCACCAGGAGGTTCCTACCTGTGTGGGGTTTCTTTTAGGTTTCTCCGGCTTCCTCCCACAGTCCAAAGAAGTTGGGATTATGTTGATTAGAGACTCAAATTGACCATAGATGTGAATAGCGTGTCTCTGTATGTTGGCCCTGTGATTCGGCGGCTGTGGCTGAGGGGTAGAGCGGTTATCCTCCAACCAGAAGGTCAGCGGAGCGATCCTCAGTCTTCCCCATCTGCATGCCAAAGTGTCCTTGGGCAAGATAGTGAACCCCCCCCCCCCCCACTCAAGTATCACAGTAACTTTTCTAGTTTAGTAGAAGTAATTAAATACTTGCTTTTAAATATACTTAAGCTGAAGTAAAGTAAAAGTACTTGCCAAGTGTAGCGTATACCCTAATGTCTACTACATCAGTATGGCTGACTAAACCACTCGGTGGTCCCATAGAACGCTGCAGCTGAGGCAGCTAAGTCATGTTTAAAGGTAAAACTTGTGTTCTGAAAAGGAGACATTTGTATAACATAGCTCCTGTGTCCCACCACATTGCATCTCGTAACTTAGCCAGGTATCAAAAGTAAAGGTTCTTTGTACATAGTACTACTACGCAGCAGAATTGCCTCTGTTCTTGATAATCATGTTTTCTTATTAATGACTATAATACTGATGCATGGATGACTTCAACATAGCTGATCCAAGTGGGGCTAGTTTGAACTATACTCTTGGCTTCAGCCCCCTTCACTTCCTGTGCTGTGTTGCACATTTGATGATAAATGGATAAAAGGTCACTGCAGCAAAATACAGATGGCACATGACTTGACTGAGGCAATGGTTCAACTTTCAGCACGGTGACCCTGAGAGGACGCTGCAGTTTCGTCAGGAGCACAGAACCTCGCCAGCTTTTCTCCCAACAACACAACATCTGTCGGTTTTATGGCAAATGACTAAAGGTTTTGTATTTATGTTGAACTTTTTCTAGTCTTGATGACTCACAGAAGAGTGGAGACAGTTTTGCCATTCACCCACTCACACAGTGCATCTATGTGCAACCCTTTCTCTCCATCACTCATACCCTGTTGGCACAGCCGTCAAGGGAAATTTGGTGATTCAAGGACACTTCGGCAAGTGGTACAGGGGAAAGAGGGATCGAACTGCCTCCTGTTTGGAAAACGACCAAGCCATTTCCTGCACTTTGTCCTCTGTAAATGATGAGAGTGAACACTGAACATTGAGCAAAGGTGACTCTTTTCCTCCTTTTATATTTTTATTGCTAAATAAAACCTTCAAATTAAAACAGAGGAAGTCAGAGGAAGTCGTCTCAAATCTACAGAGACACAGAGACTGCAGAAAGTTTCCGCTCCACTGCAGTATCCAAGCAACCAGCCCCACACAGCAGTGACAGTCAACAAGATAAGGTGTGTTACATTTTCATTGGTTATAAAGTGCTAGAGAACAAATATTCACACTGCTGCATGTGCACACTTGTTTAAACTCTGTTAAAAACTGATAGAGCTTTGGCACAGGATTCAAACTAAGAGGCTCTACTTCTTCATCAGTCGTCTTCGCAATACTTGATCAGTGCAGCTCAGCTGTCAGAGCTCCAGAGCCACGTTCTCTATGCCAACCTTCCGTCTTCTGGGCTGTGGTGGAAACATTGGCAGATCATTTTCTTTCACTTGAGACCGTTATCACTCACAGTACAAACAGTCCATTTCACTGAGACACACTGTTTAGTCTTTGGACCGCATTAACTGTTTAATGGTCTTCTGAGCTGTTCGGTCCAGTTACCCAGAGACACGTCTGAATGTACTTACAGGAGTAAGTTATAGAGCTGTCTCTGAGGACACTGTGTTACGCCCATAAATATTCCCACGATTCCCCAAAGGTGCACCATGGAATTCAGAACTCCTGCCTCCAATATCCCCTTTTTTAATTTCCCTGAGGAAGTCTTCCCAAAGGGATCAATAAAGTTCTATCAAATCTAATATCCCCTCCAGAAGCTGCAGTTCAGAGCTGCACAACGTTCAGGAGGAGTTCCAGATCATTCTTCCTCAGAACTGCTTCATATCGTGAAGACGTCTGGTGTGAACGAGTCTCTGAGCTCATTCCACAGCTTGTGTCGGGTTAATGTGTGGACTCTGATTAAACTCACTGTGCAGTAGATCTAAATCTTCAGCTGGTGAGCCGCCACACTGACAGTATCCTGTTAGATACACTGATAAACTTGAGAATTCATGTGACAATGTGCTGAGCCTTTGTCTTCACTTTAGCAGGGGACCTGAGGTTAGTCCATAGCAGCTATGGAGAGACAAAACTGAGGCCTCTCCCTTTAGAAAAACTTTGACTGTGGAATGAGGAACATTCACTTTATGGAAATCACAGTCTACACAATGGGTGTGTGTGTGTTTCACTTTGGACTGCAGGGCTCCTCACTTCATTGTGTTCCATTGTGGTGATTGTCTGAGGCACAATAAAGTGTATGAATTCAGACATTTAAATACAATGATAGAGGCTAAAGACAGTCACTATACAGTATATGTAGGGATTTGTATGTCCTTCAAGCTGGTTGCTCTGGTTTGAACATGACTTAACATAACGTGAAATAAAAGGTTACATCACTGTCATTAAGCTTCAGTTCTTTAAAAGCTCCTGTTCTTTATATGAGGAGGTGTGTTCTCCTTTACATCTGACAGGTGCATGTGTGTGTGTTTACCTTCTGCTCGTCGCAGCAGCAGCAGCAGCAGCAGCGGATGATAACCAGGATGACCAGCAGCAGAACCATACCTGACAACACACAGGGAGGGGTCAGAGCACAGTACTCAGTGTTCAGTGTGGAAGCTCCCCCTCATCTGCAGTCAGGGGATCACGTCAAACCCAGGTTCATGAAACCTTCAGGTGACACAAAGCTCCGATTTTACTCATTTTATTTGCCAATGCTCATTAATCAACAGACAACATACTGCTAATGAGCAGCAGTTAGCTGCATGGACATTTTTTTTAAATGACCTATCCATATCGATATGTTACAAATATCTCTGTATAATACATGTGCATTATAATGCATACCATCTAAACTGGACAACAGGCCTGTGATTAAGACACAAGACCTGATCGAAAACAAGCAGATAACAGAAAACAAAAGGAAATCATTATAGATGTCAAACATCACAACAAACCTCAGATACACATGTAAACTGAATAACAGTAGATATAGGGGAATGACTACACATGAACATTTAAAAGGTTAGATCATTTCTGCTTTCAACAGGCCAACTAGTCCAATACTGTACAGCACAGCGCCCCCTGGTGACTGTTGCTCTACTACCACTCTCTGATCAGCAGTGATGTCAAAAGTGAAAGGACCTGTTGTGTTTATAGAGAGTTTACCTACACACTCATAAGCAGTAACATCTCTGAAAGGTGCTTTGTTCGTTTCTTATTGCTTTAATTATTTGATTGTCTTTTTTATTTTGCTGGTGGCAGCCTACCATGACTTCACCTATTGGTCTGTGAACTGTGAACTTTTTGCATAAAGTCTACAGTCAACACTAACAGCCTAAAATGTGCTGCGTAATTCAATCAGACTGTGATGTGGATTAACTGGGGGCATTCACACAGCAGTTATCAAGCCACATACACTTGTTGCATTGCTTTATAAGTTTGTAAATCTTTACACAACTGTGCTTTATGTGATTCACTGCTATGTGAATATGGACTTTGTTGAATTGTCGTGCAGCAGGAGATTGAATCAACACTTAGCGGGCTGCAGTGGTTATATTACAGCCCCCCTCGTTCACTGTGTGTACTACGTCTCAAAGAAACGCATTTCACACAGTCCCTTAGACATTTTAGTGCCTTTGGTCATGAGAAAGAAACATGTCATTTTAAAGCATCTGCTGAATTGATTGACTTTCGACACAAGGCTTAAATGTGAGAGTGAACGATGAGCAGCCAACTCAAGTGTTGTGCTGATTCATCCCCACGTTCTTATAGCAGAAGGAGGTTTTTAAAACAAGTCTACATGTTTTCAGTGTTTTCTACTCTAAACCATTTCCTTCACTTCCACTCACCGATGAAGATGAAGAAGACTGCAAAAGAAGCGATGTCCCAGTCAGACTGGAAGAAATGCTTGGACTGAAGTCTGGAAACCACATCGTTGACCTGCTCCTCAAACTCCTGCTGGATGTTCCTCTGATCCATCTCTGCGTCTGCACGTGACAGTTCAATAACCTTCTTAATCCAAGAGTCTGCATAGATTCTATCTTCGGCAAGCATCCCTTAAGGTGTCTTCACTCCCCAACCTATTAGGATTTTGTGGTTGTGTTTTCTTTTATACTAATTTAAGGTTTTTGCATTCTATTGTCCAGGTATCTAATATTTAAAGCATCCAAATTTACATTTAAGTACAATAACGATTAACATTATATTTATCAACTCTTTGTCCACTTTAACCTATTAATCATTGGTTTAAACTGAGATTTTACCTGGTTATACCTGATGATTATCATTTGTGCCACCTGACGACTGACTGAATATGCTGAATATAATAAATACAGATGTGTGTTTTAGTAAACAGTCTCTATTTAAGTTTGTCTTTTTAGGAAAACAAACTTTTTTAGATTCAAGGTTTGAAATTCTGTGACGACATTGAAATGTTAATGTAAGAAATTAGATTCTTAAAACGTTTCACCGCTTCAATAATATTTTTCATGTAAGTCCACGTGTATGTGAATGACACCATAAAGACCTAAAAACCAAAGTGATCATGAGGTTAGAGAATGCTGTAACTATTTGGGTTTCAGTTTGTGTGGACAAACAGCTATCATCTATTTATGTTTATTCAATTAGTAACTTTGTGCGTTTGGTAAATGTGTGTTTTAGATTGGGTGTTTTCACGTTCAGACTGAGGAGAGGTGTCGACATGAATCATTCACAGCTAAACATAAGAGATCTACATCCCAGCTGACATTTTGACGTCCAAGCAGGAGAAAACACACGTGTACATAGTAACAAAAGTAACTGGCTGAATTATTTGTCTCTTCTTCAGCTTCATTTTCCTCCGACACTCTCAAGGCTGTGAATGTTGTCAGCAGCCGCTCCTGTGAGGAAATGTGTGGTGGCCATGAGAGCCCAACACAACGCAACTTCACAAAACACACACACAGACAAAGCACATGCAAACTGACAAAAGACCTGGGCAGCAAATACTCAGAGTTCGGGGAGTATATGGTTGTATTGCCAGTATTTGGTTGAGTTGGGAGTATTTGATTTATTTGCTCGTCAATCAATCAATCACATTTTATTTGTAAAGCCCATATTCACAAATCACAATTTGTCTCATAGGGCTTTAACAAACTGTGACATCCTCTGTTCTTAACCCTCAACAAGAGTGAGGAACAACTATTTTTTTTTAAACTTTAACAGGAGGAAAAGAAGGTAGAAACCTCAGAGAGAGCCACATGAGAGGGATCTCTCTCCCAGGACAGAAGAGCAATAGATGTGAGGTGTAACTGAGAAGGTCAGAGAAATAAGAGTATTTACAGCACTGGTTGGAGTAAATAGTTTGAAGTGTGATCGAAGGTAAGTGAATTGAGGTCAAATATTTGGTACTTACATCGAGCACACACACGGTCTGTATGCGTCTACTTCCTGGATAAATCCACGCACTTCAGTGAATGTTGACTGGTAATCAGGCGGAATCTCTCACGACGACTAGAATTAGAAACCACTCATGTTTCTACAGATACACCGTGAACACGTACATTTGAATACAGGCTACATCGGACTTTAAAGTGGTTTGTCGCATAAACGGCGCGTTATTTCGTTGTTCAGAAGAACAGGTGCCTACCTGCGAGCGGCGTCTATGTTCGTCGTTTATGTTCCGGGTACGAAGGTCGATCTGACTCACCTGTTGTTTACCTGCGAGCTGACTCTGCTCGCTGCCATGGTGACCAGAGGCCACATGTGGACCAGATGTGGACCAGATGTGGATC